ATGCTGACCCTCAGGCTGTGACAGTGTCTGCCACTGAGACCAAAAACGTTAGCTGTGTGGCTGTTACGAAAATCAATACAAAGGCCGTGGCGACAGGCTGCTGCCTCTCAAGCTCCAGCAGATGAACCTGAACCTGAGGGTGCAGCTGCCCAGACTCAGGAGAATCAGGATACTCGGCTCAAGGTCAAGGCCAAGAAAGCCTGAAAGGTGAAGAATCTGAGTGGGGAAGAGAATGGCAGCAGTGATCAGAGTCAGGCTTCTGGAACCACAGATGGTCGAAGGGTCTCAAAGGCCTTAATGACTTCAATGGCCCGCAGGGCTTCAAGGGGTCCCATAGCATTTTGGGCCTGTAGGGCATCAAGGACTCGGTTGGCTGCTTGGGTCCAGAGAGCTTTGCTGTCCCTGAGGTCACCTAAGGCCCATGGGGGCAAGGCTTGCCGCAGAGCTGCCAAGCTCCAGTCATCCCAAGAGCCTGAAGCACCACCATCTCGGGATGTGGCCCTTTGGCAAGGGAGGGCAAATGGATTGGTGAAGTACCTGTTGGTTAGAGACTAGACAAAGATTCCCATCAAGTGCTCAGACATGCTGAAGGACATCATCAAAGAATACACTGATGTGTACCCTGAAATCATTGAACAAGCAGGCTATTCCTTGGAGAAGGTGTTTGGGATTCAGTTGAAGGAAACTGATAAAAATGACCATTGTACATACTTCTCAGCACCTTCGAGCCCACAGATGCAGGCATACTGGGAACAACCAAGGACTTCCTGAGGCTGGGTCTCCTCATGGTACTTCTTAGAATAATCTTCATGAATGGGAATCCGCCCAGTGAGGCTGTCATCTGGGAGGTGCTGCACAAGGGGACTATGTACCCTGGGATACATCACTCACTTTATGGGGATGTGAAGAAGCTCAATACTGATGAGTTTGTAAAGCAGATGTACCTCGACTATGCCTGAGTCCCTAATACCAACCCTCCTGAGTATGAGTTCTTTTGGGGCCTGCGCTTCTACTATGAGGACTAGAAAGTCCCCACATTTGCCTGCAAGATACAAAAGAAGGATCCCAAGGAATGGGCAGCTCAGTACCGAGAGGCAATGGAAGCAGATATAAATGCTGCAACTGAGGCTGCAGCTGAAGTGAGGGCAAGAGCCGAGATTAGAGCTCAAATGGGCATTGGGCTTGGCTCTGAAAATGCTGCAGGGCCCTGCAACTAGGATGAAGCTGACATTGGACCCTGGGCCAAAGCCCAGATCGAGGCTGGAGCTGAAGCTAAAGCCAAAGCCCAAGACTGGTGCCGGTGCCAGTGCCAGTGCCAGAGGGAGCTTTGGTACCAGTGCCAGCCTGACCACCACTCTCACATTTGGGCTCATCGCTGGCCTCAGTGGAGCTGGTGCAAGCAGCAGTGACAGTCTAGTACCTGCGGTTTTTCCTGCAAGTGAGATTTCAAGGTGCAGCCTCAGAAACATTCAACACAGCACTCCAGGCAGCCACTATCAATCAATTGAAGCTGACACTTTACATTAAATCTATAAGTCATTTCTGAAAAAAAAAAAAATGTTTTCTATATCTATGATTCTGTTTCTGTTCTGCTTATTAGATTCAATTGTTGACAGATATGTATTTGTTGCCTTTTCATTGTTCATATTTATTTTCTTCTTCTTCTTAAAGAAGACCCTTTAACATTTCATATATTGTTGGTTTGGTGGTGATGTATTTTAGTGTTTTCTTGTTTGGGAAGCTCTTTATCTACCCTTTGATTCTAAATGATAGCTTTGTTGGGTAGAGTAATCTTGGTTGTAAGTCCCTGCTTTTCATTACTTTGAATATTTCTTGCCAATCCCTTCTGGTCTGCAAAGTTTCTTTTGATGAATCGGCTAACAGTCTTATGAGAGCTCCCTTGTAGGTCACTAACTGCTTTTTTCTTGGTGCTTTTAAGATTCTCTCTTTGTCTTTAATCTTTGGCATTTTAATTATGATGTGTCTTGGTGTAGGCTTCTTTGAGTTCATCTTGTTTAAGACTCTGCACTCCCTGGACTTGTGTGTCTATTTCCTTCACCAAGTTAGGGAAGATTTCTATCATTATTTTTTCAAATAGGTTTTTAATTTCTTGCTCCCTCTCTTCTCCTTCTGGCACCCCCATGATGTGAATATTGATACATTTGAAGTTGTTCCAGAAGCTCCTTTCACTACTCTCTCTTTTTTTTCTTTTTTGCTGTTCTGATTGGCTGTTTTTGCTTTATTTTCCAAATTGCTGATTTGATTTTCTGCTTCATCCATTGTACTGTTGATTGCCTATAAATTATTCATTTCAATTAGCGTTTCCCTCACTTCTGACTGGTTCTCTTTTGTGCTCTTGAGGTTCACACAAAGTTCATTAAGCAGCCCTGTAATCAGTGCTTTGAACTCTACATCTAGTAGATTGCTTGTCTCCATTTTGGGGTTTTTTTAGTTCCTTTCTGGAGTTTTGTTCTTTCATTTGGCTCATTTGGCTCATTTTGGCAGCCTCCCTGTGTTTGTTTCTGTGTGTTAGGTAGAGCTACTATTCCCCCCACCTTTGTATAGTGGCCTAGTGTAGTAGAAGTCCTGTGGGTTCCAGTGGCACAACTTCCCTGATCACCCAAGCTGGATACTTGATATGTGCCCCACTGTGTGACCTATGTACGCCCACCTCTTCTAGTTGAGACATGATTGCTGTTGGCACATGGAGAGGGATTTGCTTAGGCCAATCAGCTGCAAGAACTGGCTGTGACCACCAAACACCAATCTACTTTCACCATGGAGTATCAGCTGTGCTGGGGCCCACCCTGCAGAACAGGACTTACTTCAATATGGCTCTGGTGCTGTCTGAGTCCACCTGTTAAGTGTGTTGCTTGTGAGGTTGGTTGGATGGTGGTGCTTCAATGTGGTCTAAAGCTGTCCTTTGTATTGAGGCCTCTCGGGAGGTGCAAGCCAAGGCCAGCAACCAACTGTTCTGTCTGGGGTCACCTGGCATAAGCTACAAAGCCATCTGCAAATGGCTGCTACTTGTGCGGGTTTGGAAATGACCAGGCAAGGCCAAGCTGTGAAATGAGGCCAACTCCTGCTAGTGCCAGGCTTGGGGCCACTTAGTGCAAGGTACAGGGCTACTGAGGCCAGATGCTGCTTTCCTGAGAGAATTTAGAAAATCTAAAACATGAGCCATGGCAAGCCATTTGTATGGAAACATTTTAGGTGGGCCCAAAAGTTGGGTGGGGCGGGACCTCAGGTAATCATCAGGGTGAGGCTAATAATGTGTTCCAGGTGACTGAGACACAGACATGGCACCCACCTGCTGGCTCTGTTGGTTGGAGGTCTCAAAGAAACAATGGCCTCTGCCAGCACTTCTGTCTGGGAGAAAGCTGCCCCTTCAACTCTCACGCAGATACCAAATAATTCATTTCCTCTCTATATGTCTCTGGTGCATTCCAACCCACTGCCCTTGCATTGGAGTTCAGGAGTGAGTCTGAGTAAGTCCATATCCAGACCCTTTAAGAGACACTGCCTTCAGCAGCTTCCATCTTCCTTAGGTTCAATCCCTGCTGGTTTTACGGGGACTTGTATTCCTGGTACTGGAACCCTGGACTGAAGGGAGGGTCTGGTGTGGGGCCGGCATCCATCACTAGACAGAGATCTCCACAGCCAAGATATCCCTCCTGATTTTTATCTGCTACAAGTGGGTGTGGAACCAGCTTGTTCCACATCTCTGCCCCTAATACCAGTCTGTGATTTCTCCTTTACTTCTGTATATGCAGGACTTCCATTCAGCTCCATTTCAGGTTGTTCTGAATAATGGTTTATAGTTTTGCTATAATTTCGATATGGTTGTGTGAGGGGGCAAGTATCATTTTTACCTATCCTACCTTGACCATAAGTCTCCAGGTGGCTTGTTTAAATCATGGTAGGCAGAATTCTAAAATGGCTCTCCAAGATATACTATTCTAATCTCTCACACAGTGAATGTGACATCTATGTTACATTCCCCATCAAGAGGGATTTGTAGATGTAATTAAGGTTATAATCAATTGATGCTAAGTTTACCAAAAGGAAGATTATAGTGGTAGCCCTAAACTAATCACACAAACCCCATAAAAGCTGTTTTGTGTAGCTTACAGCAGAAAAAGTCATATTCCAAGAATGAAGAGGGTTCTATGCACTGTTGCTAGTTTGAAGAGGAAGGAAGCCATGTATGAAGAAGTAAGGGTGGTTTCCAAGATCTTAGGGTGGCCCATGGCAGCTAGCAAGGAAATGGAAAAAGCTACAAGGATCTAAATTCAGGCAACAAACTGGATGAGACTGGAAGCAGCTTCTTCCCCTAGAGAATCCACCTTGGCTGACAATGTGATTTCAGCCTGTGAGACCCCAAGCAGAGAACCTAGTCTAGCCTGCCTGGACTTCTGACCTACAAAACTGTAAGATAATAAAAAGGTGTGATTTAAAGCTGATAAATTGTGGTTATTTGTTAGGCAGCATTAGAAACTATACAATCATTCTGTGCTAGTTTTGTTTTGTTTTTTTTGCAATGACCAAATCCTGATGTGTGTGTATTTATATATATTTTTTACTGACTCACTTGTGTACTATCATGAAGCTCTTTCTGCTTTTCCCTTTTCTGAACTTGATTTACTGCTTTCCTTTTCATTGTTCATGGAGGTACTGCCCAGGAAAAAAATATATATTTTTTCTCAAAACCACTCAAAGTTAGTTTTTGAGTTTAAAAACAAGGGAAGTTAAGGTACAAAGAGAAACTTCCTTTGTCAGTATCCAACCTATAATATACTACCCTTTTACTTACCAGCAATAAACCCACAAAAATAAAGGGATAAAACCATCAGTGACCAGAAAGGTCTATGTTCAAGCCCATAAATTTGTAAAAATCAAAAAGGTATAACACAAAATCAGATAGTAAATTTGTCTTCAGTATTCTCTTATAAGAACTTACTGTTTCAACTAGAAAAATAATCAATAAATATACACAGAGTCAGAAAATTATTTTAATAGTTACAAAACGTTTTTTTTTTTTTACAGAATCAGTATAAAATAGTAGTTGATTTCTCCATAATTATCAGAATTATTTATACGTGAGGTCTTGGCTAAGTGGGGCTGAAATCAACAAACGATCTTGGGCTGTTGGCTCAGAAATCATCCTAGCAAGCCTGCCTTGTCGATGTCTGTCATGCTTAGCTCTTATGAGATGACTGGTCATTTTAAAAATATCTTTTTATTCATTCTTTGGAGGCTTGAAGTGAATTCGGCAGCGTTCATTAAACACCTAAGATAATTTGAACAGAAAAAAATCATTTAATTATCCTGTATAACCCAGGCCTGGATCCAAATAAAATTTAGCATGGTTCAGCCTTGAACCAACAGTTCAGTTCCATATTCAGGACTTGTTTTAGACAGACAAAAATATCTAAAATACGTTTAGGAGTCCCCTCCCCTTTTTTAATAACATAAAATATATTTAGATATCTGTTGTGCTCTTCTAAATGAGTGTTAGGCTCCTTACAAGTAGGTATGCTTGAAGGGAGACCAGTGTTTTGCTAAATTCCTTAACTTTATGTTTTGTTCTATTTACTTTGCTTCCTAAAAGTCTAAACAAATTACACATCATAAATGTTAAAAAGAACATTTCATGACTGTCAATATGTGACTGTGTTAACCAAAAATTATGATACAGCCATTCGACGGAATACAATGTAAATGTAAGAATGCTCTTCATGTTCTGATTTTAAAAGATCTCTGAGGTTTGTGAAGGAAAATAAAAAGTGTGAAGAGTCTACTCACATTTGTGACAAAGCAGGAAGTGTGTGTGTGTGCACACATACACAAAATTTTAAAAGGTGCAAATATCTGAAAGCATATACCATCCTTTCAGAGAGAAGGGCCAAGTGGCTATATGAGATGAGAGGTACAATTTTTACTCTCATATTTAAAAAAAATTAAATCATGTATCTAAAAATGTTTATTTTTACTCATATTTAAAAATATGAATATGAGGTAGATTATTCATATTTTAAAAATTAAATCATTTATCTAAAATGTTTATTTTTAAAAATTATATGTAAAAAAATCATTAAAGTTCTCAGAATTTATCCTCAAATTTCATTAACATAGGAACAGATCATTTTTAAGGTTAAAAAATAAGCAACCTATGTTGTCTGCTGTGGACTATCATAAAAGGAAAAGCACAATCTACATAGGGAGGTTTTAAGGTGCCAATATTATTCAACTTTTTAAACTGGGTGGTAAATACATGAATGCTCATTTTATTAACATTCTGGAATTCTACATGTTACATGCTCCTTGGCATGTGCACCTCAAAGAAAACAAATCAAAATTAAAGACTCTTTCTGGCCCCTCCATCTTGTAGTTTATCTCATGTCAGCTCCTAACTCTGGCATTCCCTGAAGCTCCCCATGCTCAGACCAAAGGAGTCTTCAGATTAGTGGCCTGGACACACTGGTTGGGATGACACGTGTGGCTCGGGCGAGCTTCTCCAGTCCTTTTCCTAAATGTCTTCCTAACCACTTTTACTGGACTGTTGCACCACAGCACCATTTTCTTTTTAAAAGAAGCGGGAAATGTCACTTTTTGTGGGGTGGATGGATTATATTGTTACTGGACAGGGACCAGGCCCAGAGCAGATCTGCCCCAAGCTGGCCAGTAGTCCTTGTCTTCAAGTAGGAAAGATTTCACAAGTCTAGGTGAGTTTGAGAGTGTTTATTCAAGCTGGGGACAGTGAAACAAAGGAAGGATGTAGGGTAGAAGAAGCAAAAGGACAGAGCATAGGCAGTGCTCTGCTTTGGCTCCCTAGAAATGTTATTAAAAAAGAAGTGAGCCAAGGTAGGGATGCTATTAATCCCCTGGGAAGAGAAAGGAAAATGAAGCCTTGGAGACAGGATTGGGGGTAAGCCCAAAGGAGCTGCCTCTGCCCCTTGCTCTCCCGGTTGCAAGTTTCATGGGGACCCTTAAGAGTTTAGAAGGAAGTAAAAAGTTCATGCCAGAGAAGGGGCATGGTATGCTCTAGAGCAGGCCTGCAATGGTTTTTTGTCTTGAGAGTGTTTTTCTTTTGCAGGCGAGAATTTTAGGGGAGGGTTTCAGCAGCATATTCACCAGCTTTCCAGGTGCGCTCTGAATATGCTGATGCAATAAAATGAGCAAATAGTGGACTTTGGGATTATTCTTTGGTCTGCTCAATTGTTTTAGTTTTATCTTGGGTCTGTCTGGCTGTAATCAGGTTTTTATTTTTTGTTCCCCTGACTTCACCCATTCTTGGGTTTAGCTGATACACATGGCATTTATTGGGTCTCTGTTCTCTATCTCTCTGACCAGGGTGATTTAAGCTATGTATTCTCTGGTTAGGAGGAGAGATATAAAACATTTGCTCTTAAGTTTCTTTGATTAGGGAAGATAATGTCTTACAATTCACTAGCAAGCTGTAAGTTGTTGAAATTGTCTGGCCTTGTTGAATTATCTTGTCTCAGTTTCCCCATTCTACTTGCTGAGGAATTTTCCTAGCTTCTTACTATCCTGCCTCAGTACTTCCTTTAAAACTAGCATCAAATCCAAAAATGCTTCATTCTTCCTGCTACATTTTACGTATATCAACTTCTGTACTGGATTTTTCAAACCAGTTATTTATTGTATCCCTCCCCATCCCATGCCAAGTATAAATATGACCTCTCTGAAGAATTTAAATGGACAAATATTGCCAAAATCTTTCAAATAGCAAACACCTTATCACGTTGGTGACCAGGGCAGGGACAGGAAGGAAATCTTGGCAAAGAGGACAGAATAAAGAAATGTAGGCTGCTCCCTCCAGGGGGCACGCCCATGCCTTTCACTACCCCCCTTCCGCTGGGTCCAGTTTCCTTGCCTCTCTCTCCTAAGCTCTAAGAGACCTTCTTTCGCCTGTGTCACTTGTTTCTTGGGCCCATTTCTTCTGTGGCTCACTTCTTCTATCTCTGTGACTTTCTATATAAACTTTCTCTTATAGTTTGAAAAAAAGAAGAAAAGTAATAAAGCAAAAAAAAAGTAATTTGTATTTTGCAATTTATTAATGGTTCTGCAAGTTGGTACATTTTAGTTTTGCATTCGGTTAACCTCTCTGGGTTAAGCCAATTCCACTGGTTATTTTCAAAGGACAAAACAAATTTTTCAGTTCATTCTTTCAGATTTAATAAATTTTGCCTTCCAGAAAAAAAAGAGGGATATATAGGTTTATTGTTTTTAATAGGGGTTTTTTTTTTTTGCATTCTTTTCCATTACCATTCTTTACCATTACCATCTTTATCCCCCTTACACCCTCTTCAACCTCCTTATTATTATTATTTTTAACCTTGAGTTTATTTTGTCATTGCTTTTAGAGAGAAGGGAATAGAGAGAAACACTGATGTGAGAGAGAAATAGCAGCTGGTTGCCTCCCATACATGACCCATACTGGGGACCCAACCCATAACCTACATATGTACCCTGACCGGGAATTGAACTTGCAACCCTTGGATACTGGAATATGCTCCAAACAACTGAGTCACACTGGTCAGGGCAAGAGAGGTATATAGTTTTAGAGAGGGGTATACAGATAATATTTTTTTAAAAAACAAAAGTCAGGATTTTTAAAATTTTTTGACTACATGTAAAGTCCTGGAATCTTGGCCCCCCTATCTAAGTCGTAATCAGAAGTATGCAGGTGGTAATAAGGAGTACGTGAATCTAGAAGCCATAAAAAGCCCTATTATCAGATACCAAAATCTATGTACAAAAATGTTTCAGGATCAAATGCTAGAAAACAAGCTACTGTGATGGGTAGCTAATGATATGAAAATTTATACAAAGTAATGGGGATCAAAATGGCTAATTTTAACAAATAACCTTAGTGAAGGTTCTGAGTTAACCAGAGTAAAAACTCTAAATATCAGATATGCCCACAATTAATATTAGGAAACATACAGAATGTCTCCCACTCTATTACCATGGCAGGTCATACAATTCTACCATAACTGTAAAGCCAATTTTTAAAAGATGGCTCTATTTGGGTGCTGACCATATCTGCCCCCCAGTTGCAGAAAGTGAAAACCCTCAGTTGCTTGTAAATGAAGGATCTCTATTCTTCTTAAGGGCCCCAGAGCTCTCCTTACTCCTGCTCCCTTGGTCTCCCACCTTTGCTATTTCAGTTTTCCTCCTAATTCCCTCTGAGCGCTAACATTTTATACCTTCCAGCTTCTGTCATTTACCACTTCTTCAACATTCAGTTCTGACTGCATCCATTTCAACTGTAAGAAAGGAAAAACAAATTTAAATTATTAAAATTTAAATTAAAAAACTAAAACCAAACTCTATAATGGTTTCCCAGCAAAACTAGCCACTGCTCCTGTATTCTTTGTTAATAGTATTACCAAGGCTATGTTTTGGAATCTTCTTTGACACACATAACCCATTTTCCCCATAACAAATCAAGTGTTAAACTGTATGTTACCCAAGCTTCTTAAGCTTTTCTGCATAGAATAATCACTTTGAGAACTTTAAAAAAAAATCTCAAATTCTCAGATAGTTCACAGAAGAAATAAAAATGGCCTATAAGCATAAATGGGTGCAACCTCGATAAACAACAATTTGGTAAGATTTACAAAGAGCTATAAATTCACATGTCCTTGAACTCAACAATTCCAGTTATAGTTATTGATACTATAATACAGATTTGCAAAGATGGCACAGAGGAATAAAAAAAGGGCAAGGAGGTGGCAACCTGATTTGGATGAAGAAAAAACAATCAGGGGGGTTAAAAAACAGAGTTAGATGAAGGGGAATATATAAGGCCCAACTGATCTTGAAAGGTCTTTCCACACCATGTTCATACAACTGCAGAGGTCTCAGTCAAAAAATGCTGAAGTCTTTCTAATTTTCTTTATAACTGCCAACTTCATCATAAAAGTAGCCAGTCCTATTGCCAGGCTCAGATGGCAGGGCCCATCACTCTCCCAGTCAGTTCTGGTCAGAGACACCTGAAGGAAAGAAGCTAGCAGTTCTAGGAAGAGGGCTCGAAAATACTCAGGAAAATTTGGAGAAAAAAGCATGAACTACAGGTTGAGACAGCCACGAGGTTAAAACCAGGATGACTTCCTCAGGCCAAAGTCAAGACCCAGGCCAGGATATCTGGGGACAAAATGCCAGAAGGCTAGATAAGATCTGGGCACCCATGAGTGAGGGAACTAGGCCAAAGAACATGGCCGACAGGATGACAGCTCAGGCAGGAGGTTGGAGAAACGTGCACGTAACATTAAGAAGACTGGAACCTGGTATTGATCCAATGGCTCCTAGATTCAGAACTGGTGTCAGCGTGTGGGCCAGGACACAGGACTGAACTGTGGAACTGGGGGCAGGGCCATACTTCTGATGACCGGCACGGTGCTGTCAAGCAGCAGCGAGCCTGGAGAAGGACACCTGCACACACCAAAGCAACCTCGGTTTCAGGTTTTAATTAGCTATACAGACCAGAAATCATTAAAGCATCACTGCTGTCAAAACTTGGACTGTCTGTTAAGTAACAACTTCAAACATTTCACTAAGATAGTCTTCACAACTGATCTGAAATATTTAAAGGGATATCATGTAGCAATGGGTTTAGGTCTATCCTATGTAGCTCCAGAGGGAATGTTAATAAGGAGCAGTAATCACCCACTACAGGGAGGCAGGTTTTCACAATATATAAGAAAACCTTTGAACAATTACAAAAAGAGAATGTAGTGCCACAGAAGACAGCGAGTCCCTAGCTCCCTTAGTGGTTAAACAAAAAAGGGAAACTCACTGGTTGGGAGAACCAGTCTGTGCTGTCAAAAAGGTTCGGGACAGCTGATGAAGAGGATTAATGTAACAAATACTGAGTCCCAGAGACCCAAAACAGAAAGGAAAGTAGCTGCTACTTTGTATCAGCCAACACACTAGCTGTTATACATATCATTTAATCCTCACCAAAAAACAAAACAAAAAAAAAACCCGACAAAATTATTAAGTATCAACTCCATTTTACAAATTGAAAGTCAGACTTCAGAGCAATTTACAAAGTTACAAAACCACCAAGTGATGAGATTTCCATAGAGCTGTCTTTATAATCCATGTTTTTTTCTATTCTTGAACCCTGCACATAATATAGCCAAGTCCTGATACAACTTCAATGCCACTAACATAATGCTACCTTTGAGATGGTTGTTTTTGAAAAGGCTCTGGGTCTAAAATAGGTAAACTTCCTCTCAAACGCCACTAATAGGTGACAGCAGTTATATAGTTCCACCAAGGAATATACTTTTTCTGAATTAAAAATTCAGGTAAAGAATTGGGGACCTTTATACTGGCATATCCATATATAAAGAAAATACGTCCACTAAAGTAATCAAAATTTGACTATCAGTTGCAACTCCATGTAAAAACACTGACTGAACCCAGAGTCAGAAGAGATGGGTTGAAGTCCTAGTTCTACCACTTACTAGCTTGTGATTCTGAGGGTGTCACTTAGTATCTCCGAGTCTCAGTTTCCTCATACAGAAAATGAAGGGGTAGAGCTGGAGCATCTCTTAAGAGTTGTCTCTTTCTGATTCCAAAATCTGCATAGCGAACTTAAAGAATAAAAATAAAAAATTCAACTTTCCTTACTGGCTTAAGTACTATTCATGGCTACCCTATAGTCCTCCTATACAATGCCCAGTTAGAAAACTACCTTTCTTTCCTAACTTACTGACTGGTCATCCTGGTGATTCTCTCTGGGCACTAAAAGCACAGGGCAGCACTGGGGGTGGAGCAAATTGCATGACACTGAAAGACTCACTGGTTTTTGAACTTTGCTCTCCATTAACAAGAGTCACTTTATTTCTTTGTTTGACCTAATTTGCTAATAGTGATTTTTCAGCTTCTGATTTAACAGCCCTGCCCTACAGTTTTGTTTGTCAGTATCTTCAAGAGTCTGTTAAAATACCAAATCCAAAAATAACTAGATTTTAACCAGTATTATGTAAATTATCTTTAGGCCTTCATAAATATTAACTGTAAAGTAAGATGACCTTTAAAGAGCACAAGCTCACTGTCTGAGAAACCCACCACTGCCTGATGAAAACGCAGGTATGGAACACAGGGCTGAAGCAGTGTCATGACCGAGGAGAGCCACGAGGGCAGCGGAGGACCCTGCACCCAGAGAGACATGTTGCATCAGTGGGATGACTGAGAAAGTGCGCGCTCGGCATGCGCAGCTAACCGAACAAAGGCCTGAAAGGGATGACAAGGTCCCCTATTCAATGCTTGGCCACAACTGCTAAACAAAGGGTAAACTTTACACCTGTTCAGTATGAAAAACAGGATTCCATCCCACAATGGACTCACCAGACATGCAAGGATCAGTAAGTCACCTATTGTGGCATCTTAAAATACAGACATGATTTTGATAATTGCACAGTGATCATGAAAAAAGAAAAAAGCTTATGTTTAGTAAATAACATAACATATGCGGGGCTAAAGGGGTACAATATGCCAAAAGCACTCTAAAAATGGCTCTGGAAAAAAAAGTGTGTACCTACATGGTGGAAGGGAGAGGAAGACTGGGAAAGAGTGAGACAGGATGGAGAAAAAAAGGTAGGTTAAAAAGAATAAATGGTGAAGGTGAGGCAAAATGTAAATAGGTGAATATAGATGAAGAATAGATGCGAGTTCCTAGTACTATTCTTACAATTTTTCTGTAAGTTTGAAATTACATCAAAATAACTTTACCCCTTAAGTGACCCTCAAGAAACAGCAATGCATTCCACATAATAAAATGTGGTACATACACATTTCAAATGTGACATGTTTTCTTGACATGTCACATTTAAGAGCTACAAAAAAGTGTTCTGCTTCATTAACTATACTCTGAGGTCCTCACCCTATCTACATTATAGCTGACTCTGATACGGTTTCTTCTGAGATAGCATTCAGTAGACACTTGCTGTTTTCTTTAAAGCGAGAGCTGTAGGAATGGAAGATGAAATGGAAAAAAAGGTATGTCCAGCCAAAGCCAAAGACCATAGCAACTTCTCCACAGTAGAGCAATAAATTATAATCAGATTCTAGTATATCTGGTTATATTAAATTATATTACATATTTATGAAGAGGGTAAAGTCCTGAAGTTATTATGTATATTACATTTCAGCAGATTTCTACAGATAAAACCAGAGGTACATATTTTCAAAATGTACATACATTTAAGAAATGTTTCTTCTCAAGTCAAGCCTCAAGACATAGATACAGATGTGATTTCCCTAGATTTTCTTATGTCGTATTGGTCTGAATTAATCCTTTTACCTTTAACAGCAGAATATATAAAGGAATGAAAATAAAATACGATTACACTGCATATTTGCATCATGTGTTCATGAAAGGCACATTAATTTACCAATTTATCATTCGGTATTTCCAAATGTAATAAAATAAAGTCCATTAAAAATCAAGTTTTAATCTCCTGGTCATTTTTTTTAAAAGTAATGATCATATCTTACCCTAAATTTTTCATAATAAAAACTGCACTTATTTTGAAGGCTAAGTTTGGAAAAACTTTGCCTCAGAAATGTAAGCCTTTTTCAACTTACCTTTGTTTGTTCTTTTCTAAGTTGCTTTAATAACGTTAAATCATCCAAGTTCTTTTCTCTCTCTTCTCGTAGATGTTTTACTACTGATGAAGTCTGAGCTATACAGTTTTTTATGAATCTGTCCCTACTGGCATGAGCTTCCGTCAACTAAAAGAACAAATTAAAAAAGAAAAATCACACCAATTTATCACGTTAGTTTTTTTAAAAAATCCTTATTTTTAGACTACAGAAATGCAATGCTTTCTAAAATGTTTAAAAATTAAATCTATAGAAGAGAAGATTGTGCTAATCAGCTAAACCACCTAAAAAAGGATGAAAAGGAAGCACCTCTGCTGGTGGCCGGGGTTGTCTTCTTCCTCAACAAGCTCCCAGGGCTCCCTGCTCCTTTTCCTGAGTCCCTGTCCCTGCACACCCCACACTGGACGTATCGTCTCAGTCTCTTTTCCCCTCCTGCCCCCTTCTCTCCTCAGTATTCCATCCATGTGTCCCGCTCCTCTACACCCCCTCTCTACACATCTTCTGGGCCACTTTCTATTGGTATCCTTCCTCTCTTCTTTGGTCCTCTCATGCTTTCTTTGGCCTCATGTTGTCACCAAGTGCAAGAAATTATAAAGTAAATGATGTAGAGAAGCTTAGTTATTTAAGAAAAACAAAGAAAGTTACATTTACCTATGTAAGACAAAGCCCTTTTTACGATTTTAAAATGTAAGTATTAATAAGGCCAAATTATGTATAAAGTACACAGTATTTATTCCATCAATTGTGTGCGCTGATTGAAAAGACATCTGACAGAGCAATTCTTCCCTAACCTTTATGTCAATGTAGCAAATCCAACATAGAGTCACATCTATTTTCTGCCTTCCTTGATTCAAGAAGTATAATAAGGCAAGTATCAAACATACTCCTGTGATTATAGCCAAATTTTGATGATACCCCCAAAATCTGGGGGACAAGAAAAGCAAACACTAAAAAGACATGTAATAACCATTATAATGGTACATAAATAACAGTGGTTCACCTCCAATTAAAATGTGTTAACTTGCTCCATGTAATTATCATTTCTTCTTCCCTCTGCAGAGAGAATAACCTAATGCAATAGTTATAGCATGGATAACCTAACCATTTTATATATACAAATGTGTGTATGTTGTGTGTGTGTTTATAGATAGATAAAATATAGGACTAACTTAAAACCATTTTATAAGCATCCTACATAAGCTACTTGAAATACATCTCTTAAATGATCATATTAGGACCCTATGGTTGAGAATGACTGGTCTAATATTCACCAGGAAATAATACACCTTTGCATTTCTAGAGTGCAGTAGTAAAAGTGCACTACTTAAAAATCATACCTATGGAAAGAGAAGGAAAGTAAAAGTAAACTGACTTAAAGATATTAATCTACCTAGAGTAAGTTTCTCTAATATGCTCATTTTTTTCATTGTAACGTATGATTCACAAGGACTGCCTCAAGGCCCATATTTCATTGGCTAACATGCTGCTTCTTTACTTGTTTACTCCTTCAGGTATAATTACAGAAAATTAAAGGAGCCACTGAGGGCAGGGAACTACTCTTCCCAAAAGAGAATAAAAAGAAAATAGCCATGCTCAGAGTTAAGAAGCTCTCCCTTGTTGCTGTGTAAGACTGGCTAAATAATGAGCATTTCCAGGCCTCAGATTTCTCTTTTGTAAAATTATGGATTTTGAGAAAATAATCACTAATATCCTTTCTACCTCTAATATTTAGGGACAACATGACTCAATGTACTGCTCAGATATCAGATACTATTTAATCACTTTGATATTTTTGTCTAGTCCCTCAGCAACTGGTGAAATAACACTAGCACCAACTAGCAGTATATAACAAAACAGTTTCATTTTTCTATCTGCATTTTGGTTTATTATCCTTAGAAGTAATTTTTAAAATATTTTAAAATTTTATTTTTCAATTACAGTTGACATTTTTCTATCTGCACTTTAAAATCTAATTCAAATTTGTACATTTTCCTTTCATTCTCTCTCACCACAAAGTTTCCTTCTTTGGTTAGGCTTTCTCTTTTCCACTGTTCCCCTCTTGCCTCTTTCCAGTGGATACACTTCTAGCTGCGGCCCACCTTCATACCCTCACCTGCTTACCTCTCCTTTACGTTAGCCCCCCGGGAACCCATGCAGCATGAAGAGAAAGCACTGGGCCAATCATCTATTACCCTGTATCATTAATTATTTTAATCTGGTTTTCATGACCATCCTTTAATAAAATTCAGAATTAAGAGCCATGTGAAAGAGAAACATGCATGGACTTTTTGTACATCTATGTCAAAGATATGAGGAGATGTCAAATTTTAGACTAAAAGAAGTTTTCAAAGTTTTTATAAAATAAAACTGGAATGTCCTAGATAAATCCCCTGTAGACTAGTTTGAAATCTTCTCCTACCTTATCCCCATGTTTTCATTTCAAAATTGCTTTCCCCAAATCAAAGGAAGTATGGTTATGATATGTTTATTGCTCAGCGTTTTTCGTCCTAGCCTTTTACCAAGTTTCTTAATAAATTTTACCTTATTTCCTTTAATAAGCACTTCATATATATCAGAAACAGTCCTCACGCGACTAAATCCTCAAGCATCTTAATTACTAATGAGCCAAGCCTGGTTTAGTGCTTTATCTTTCTCTGGTAGGCTCCTACCACATGATCTATTACTAGTTATAAACAATCCTTTGCATGATGTTCATGTTGCTGGGTCCCTCTAGGATACCAGCAGACAGAGAAAACCCCACACACATACAAGCGGAAGACCAAAAAAATATAAGGGAATTATCTTGTAGTACAGGCTTCCCAGGCTAGGTGAAAGTCCTAGGAACCCATCTTTATCAGTGCACCAGGGGGCATTGTTGTGACAGGCTGCATAGGCTTCAGTGAATTATTTTTTAAGACTCTCTCAGTGTGTTTGCCCATTTCATGACGGGTGATTTACAAGTGCACCGGTGGCCTACACCTCGTTGAGTGTTCAGCAGTTTTTGACCAAAAACAGCAAGAACCCCAGTGCCCCACCCTCCTCAATCAACCAATCTAGCCCCAAGCTACTTTTTTTTTTTGTTTTCCCCAATGAAAAGTCCTCAAAGGGAAATGTTTTGCCAATGTGGAGGAGGTGAAACAAGAAACAGCAGAAGCACTAAAAGGCATCAAAATTGAGTTCAAAAATTGTTTTTGAGCAGTGGAAAAAACATCTGGATAGATGTATTGAATCAAATGGAGAATAATTTGAAGGTGACTGAAGTTTAAACATGTAAGAATACACAATTTTTTATAAATAAATTCTAGTTTTTCGGGGGGTTCCCCCTCATACATAAGAATATCCAAAACAGAAAGGCTCCAAATTTAGTATGCAAGGTAATCCTGGTTCAAATAAGGATAGGAAATAATATAGCAATAACTGATAATAGAAGCACCAACAATTCCTATGTAAGACATTTAGTACAGTAAGTACTTTATATTAACTCATTTAATCCTTTAACAACCCTATAAATGAGGTTTTATTATGATAATACTATTTTACAAATAGGAGGCTGAGGCAAAGAGCTTATATAACATGAATTCAAGGAAATCCACCTAGGAAGCAGCACAGGTGAGATATAATCTAGATCTGGAATCTATGTAATTAAATTACTGCAATATAAACCTCTAAATTAATAAAAAGATTGAAAACCACTCAATAGATTTTAGAGACTATGTATTGTGAGGGGGTGTCACTAAAGTGATCATAAATTTCCAGTTCTTCAGACAGAGCTACCCAACAAAATAAGTGAATGGTCAAACAACCTCATAATAAATTAGGACCAGGACACGTGCTCCCTACTTTCAATACTGGATTCTACCCATTAAAGGCCAAACCCTGTGATTCTCTCAAGACACTAGAATTACCTGACCACTCAGTAAAATAACATACCTTTATATGAAAGCAAAAACAAAAATCGCAGCAGTTAATAGTTTGAATTAACTGATACGAATAAGCTCATCCAAAACTGATTTTTTTCCCCATAATTGAGAAATGGACTTTGGGTTTTAAGTAATACCTTCTTTTTAAGACATTGAATCAAAATAGTAATCTAGCAGTAGAGCCTAAAAAGCAAATACCACTTAAACTTTAGCTTCCAAATTAATGACAAGATATATGGAACTATAAAAAATACTTAGCTATGACATTATTTCCTTCTGCTTTTGGAAATTAAAGAAACAAATGGAATCTTTAAGAGTGAATGAAAAAATACATACTTGAGAAACCAAAGTCTCAGGAAAAGAGATTTACCTGTGACTCTCCTTCTCTCTCAACTGCCAAATGCTTCTATTCCCCTTCCTGATGAGTGTGGGGAGAAACAAGACATAGAGGGCATGAAGGGTTTTAATTCTTCTATTAGCTCTCTGGCTTCTTAGGGTTGTTTCATTCTAAGCACATGCTCTAGATTCACTGTTTTACTTGACTGTTTTCGCTCTCTCACTCCTCCCTTTGTGCATAAGATTTCCTTAAGTTAAAGGCTTCCCAAAAGGGGGCCAAAAAAATACCATGCCCATTCCTTAGAACCATCCTTTCACAGGCTTGTGCATACTATCACACGTTTCTTTAGTCTGCAGAAATTAGATAAAAACTTTTAGTTATCTGACTGCTTCCCCACTAATGACCATTTGGGTTGTTTCCAATTATAATCATCATTTAGGCCATTCAGACTAAGCTTGCAATCCAGGTTCTGTTCCTACCAGTTTTTAATCTTCCATTAGTAATTTAAAGATCTTTTTTAGATTTCAATCTAGAAATAAAACAGCTTGTAGAAGGCTCATAATTTTGACTAATAAAACACAGGCAAACATCAGGTCTTAATCTCTCAGGTGTGAGCAAGATAAAACACGAGGGTGTCATTCTTTCATCTACAGTTTAATTATACATTTATTAGATGAGTTCTTATTTTGCCTGCAAAGAAAGACATAAAAAAAGCACAAAAGAAAGACCCAAAAGATACACTTACAGAGTCATAAAGTTGTTTACAGGTTTGGCTGGCATCAATTTTCCCTGCAAAGGAAGCTGTTGGAACCGTAGTGTTTAATTCATGTACTATTCTGTCATCAATTGTCCTCATCACCTTGAGTAATTCCTGTATGTATTTAAAATAAAAGAATAACCTGAATGAAAAGTTAAGTGATAGGAAAAAAGCATTTAAACAAATAAATAAATAAGTAAATAAAGCTCTTTGGATATTTTACAGCCCTGTAAGTTAGGAGTGGCGAAACCATGTCAAATATCCTGTAAACACAGGAAAATCTTCATTATAAGAACTATGTACGAGCAATCCTAATAATGGGCACCAGCTGTTCCCTTGGTTCCAATGGAATCATTTTAAGGGTAAAAATTGTTTTATTCATTTTTAAACCCAGAGTACTTGGCAAAAGTGTGCACTCTTCCCAACTCTACTACTATACAGAGTGTGGTTCTAATGGGCTTGACTACCACAGAATTGCTTGTTCCATTTCCTTTCCCTCATTCTAAAATGTGGTGCTAGGGAGAAAACTTCTGGAAAGATAACACAAGAAACTATCAGTAGTGGTTAACTTGCAGAAATCAATCTATACCCTTTTAGGCTAAATTAATCTAAATATATCCTTTTAGACTTTTAGTTTTTTACTATGGTTGTGTATAATTTTTGTAACAAAAACAAGTAAAACCAAATATGCTGCTAGAGAAGGAATCAAATCTCTTCATGGCTTTCTTGTTTACACAACAAGTAAGATTCAGTTTTACCTTTCTTAGTAACCATAGCTCACACTTCCCCTGAAAGAGGGTACAATTCTCAAACCAACCAAAAGGAAAATGATAAAAAAAGGGAAAACTTTGACTCTGGTGAATAGGCCTAAAGAGCACAGTCCTCCCCACATTTTGTCATTAGAAAAACTGGCACCACCTACCAGAAGAGGTATAGCATACTTTTCTCTTTCTTTTAAAATTATTTCTTAAATTTGCTCCCTCACCCATAAACAAACATGATTTTTGCAAAACCAACTAATACTAGCAACAGACTTATTACTGAAAACATCCAAGTTCACATTCTGTATAAAAGGGTATTAAAAGCAACTTGCTTGATCCTATTTCCCTCCCTATAACATACTATTTCTTTCTTTTGCTGACTTAAATGCATGACTGAAACCAACTCCTTTCTTTCTTTCTTCATCCATTTGCTAAAATAACAACTTTTACTACCACTGCCCTGGCTGATGTGGCTCAGTGGATTGAGTGCCAGCCTGCAAACCAAAGGGTCATCGGTTTGATCTGCAGTCAGGGCACATGTCTGAGTTGCAGGCCAGGTCCCCAGTAGGGGGTGTGCAAGAGGCAACCACACATTGATGCTTTCCTCTCTTTCTCCCTCCCTTCCCCACTCTCTGAAGATAAATAAATATAATCCTTAAGAAAAATACAAACTTTTACTATCGTTAAAGCATTATACATTCATTTTAGAAAAATTAGAAAATTTTAAAGAAAATAAAAATCATTCATAGTTAACCATTACCAATATTTTGATATGTCCCTTTTTTCTATTAATATCTATGAATATTTTTATAAAATTGAGGTACTATGTAACATTTTAAAGTCCACCTTTATGACATTATACCATGAGCATTCTGCCCTTGTTATTAAAAATACCTTGAAGACATTTGTTTGTTTTTCAATTTATTTTATTTTTAAACAGAGGGGAAAGGAGGGAGAGAGGGAAAGAAACATCAATGTGTGGTTGCCTTTCGTGCACGCCCCTATTGGGAATTGAACCGGCATCCCTCTGGGTCACAGGCCAGTGCTCAATCCACTGAGGCACACCAGCCAGGGCTGAAGACATTTTTAATAGCTGCATTAATATTCTATCCTGTGGAGGTACCACAGCTTATCTGACCCCTTCCTCATTAATAAACATTCAAGTTGTTTCCAATTATATTAATCATTTAGGCCATTCAGACTAAGTCTGCAGTCCAGGTTCTGTTCCTATCCGTCTTTAATCTTTCATTAGTACTTTAAGGATTTTTTTCTAGATATCAGTCTAGAAATAAAACAGCTAGTAGAAAGCTCATAATTTCAACTAATAATACGTAGGCAAATATCAGGTCCAAAACCAACTTCACTTATCCTCTCTTCTTGTATCTATTTTTGATCTTCTTATATTTATTTTAGGCAATAGCACCATCATTCTCTGTACACTTGAATTCTTAGAGGAGTTCATCTCACCATATTCACTAAGCAACTTTAAATAATGTTTTATGTACCGTGGAGGATGTATCATGTCAGTGTCAAGTTCCAAACAAATGATGATTAACACTATTTAGACAGTCAAAAATAACTAAGTAGCAAACAGGGACCTACTTTACCTACTTTACCTCCTACAATTTTACTATTTTTTAAAAAAGCCTCCTTTAAACTTGAACTGATCTTCTGAGGCTAACATTTAAGTTATAGCTTTTAGATAAAGCTTTCCTTGATTGAGAGACCTCATCAATCTTTTATCATTTTTTTATTTTATCCTCACCCGAGGACATTTCTTTCATTGCTTTTAGAAAGGAAGGAGGAGAGAAATAGCAATGTGTGAGAGAAACATGGATTGGTTGCCTCCTTACATGCCCAGACCTGGGATTGATCCTACAACCCAGATATGTGTCCTCCCAGAGAATCAAACCCGCAACCTTTCGGTCACAGGGCAACGCTCCAACAAACTGAGCCACACTAATAGGGGCTCTTTCTTTTCTATTTATTTATTTATTTCCCTCACCCAAGGACATTTATTCATTGCTCTTAGAGAGAGGGAGAGAGAGAAACATGGATGTGAGAAACATCTATTGGTTGCCTCCTTGTATGCGCTCTGACCAAGGATCAAACCCACAACCTGGGTATGTGCAGTGTCTGGAAATCAAACATGCAACCCTTTGGTCTATGGGGAAATGTTGCAACCAACCGAGCCACGCCAGCCAGGGCAGGGCTGTTGCGCCATCCAAAACACCAGGACAACAGTGGTTAATAAAACAGAAAAGCTCTTTGCTTTTATGGAACAAAATTCTCAGAGGAGACAAACAATAAATAAGTACACCAACAGACAAGATAATTTCAGCATAGTAGTTCCCCCTTATCCATGGGGATTCATTACAAGACTCCCAGTGGATGCTCAAAACCATGAATAGTACTAAACCTTATATATACCGTACTTTTCGTTCATACATACCACTTCTCTTAAAGAAAGCACTTTTCAGCTTCTCTTTGACATATCTGAACTGCCAGTACTGCTACGCTTATGCTCTGGGGACATTATTAATAAGTTACTTGAATACAAGCAGTGCATTATCAAGACAGTAGATCTGAAGACCAAGGCAGCTACTAAAGGACTAATTGGCAGGTAGCAAAGGGATGACTCACTGATTCATGTCCTGGGTGGGATGGAGCAGGCTACTCAAAACGGTGTGCAATTTAAAACTTATGAACTATTTTTTCCTGGAATTTCCCATTTAATATTTTTGGACCATAGTTGATCCCAAGTAACTGCAGCTAAGGGGTTTCAGAAAACTAGGTCAACTGGATGAAGAGTGACTGCGTGAGTGAATGGCCTACCTTAGTTAGTATGGAAATCAAGAAAGACCTCTCCATGGATGAAGCATTTGGGCTGAGACCTAAATATGAATGAGCCAACTATGAGAACATCCGGAAGAATAAGTGAAAAAACCATGAGTCAAGACAAGCTTTGGGGTGCTTAAAGAAGTAAAAGGTAAGCAGGCTAGGAGTGAATAAGGGAGAAAGTAATATGAAATAAGGTCAAAGTAGAAAAAAATGAAGGACAATAGAGACCATGGAAATGATAAAGGATTCCGTTCTAAAGTTTTAGGCAAGGAGACAATATAAATGATTAATTTTTTTTTAAACACCAACTTTGGCTGCTATGTGGAGAGTGGACTATAGAGACAGGAATGGAAAGAGGGCAACCATTTAGCAGACTATTATGGTAGCCTAGGCAAGATAAAGTTAGTTTGATAAAGTGGTAGCCGTAGAATTAAGGAGAGGAATCTGGATTCAGGATATATTTTGAAAACAGGTCCGGTAAGACTTGCTGATGAATTGTTGACACTATCACAGTTGTCCCCATATTTCTCCCCTTTGCCCACTCCACCCAGTCCCCCGCCCCTTTTTCCCTCTGGCCATCACCACACTGTTGTGTCTGTGGGTTATACGTAGGTGTTCTTTGGCTAATCCCTTCACCTTCTTTCATCCAGTTCTCCCGCTCCACCCTCCCACCTCCCCTCTGACAGATGTCAGTGTGTTCCATGTATCCATGCCTCTGTTTCTATTTTGTCAGTTTATTTTGTTTATTAGAGTCCACATATAAGTGAGATCATATGGTATTTGTCTTATTCGGACTGGCTTATTTCACTTAGTATAATAATCTCCAGGTCCATCCATGCTGTCCCAAACAGTAAAAGTTTTTTCTTTTTTACCGCTGTGTAGATTAGATTGAAGGAGGGATATATTAGAGAAAGGAATGACTGAAAGTAAGACCTATCACAAAGCTAGTTGCAAAAATGACAGAGCCTGAACAAAGACCATGGCACAAGTGATGCATCTCCCTAAAACACCTAGTTGATCATCTCACCCCCTCTGCACAAAAATGACTCCCTACCCTCACATTTGGCATCCAAGGCCTTCCACAATCTGGTCCCAATCTTTTGTGTAATCTCAATGTGCCCCTACACAACCCCTGAATTCCAGCAATGCTGATTGGCTATTTCTCCCAAATACGTGAAATTTTCTGCCTTATATATTATTATTCCTACCTAAAATACCCGATCCTGTCTACCTGATGCCCAACTCAATTATCACCTCTTGATTTATTTCTCTCTGAACTGTTATAGCATTTTATTCATATTTTTTATATTTTCTATGTTTTATATTTAGTCCATGGGTCTTCCCAAGTACCTGGTACCAAACTGTAACTATTATGAAGTGAACTATGTCCTCCCAAAATTCGTATGTGACTGTACTCGGAGATAGGGCCTTTAGGGAGGTAATTAAGGTAGGGTGCTAATTCTACAGAACTGGAGTCCTTGTAAGAGAAGCGAGACCAGAGAGCTTTCTCCCTGTACGTGCACAAAGAGGCCCTGTGAGAATACAGTGAGAAGGTGGCAATTTGCAAGTCAGGAAGAAAGGCTCACCAGAAACCAATCCTGACAGGATGTTGATCTTGAACTTCACGCTTCCAGAACTGTGAAAAAATAAATTTCTGTTGTTTAAGCCACCCATTCTGTGGCATCTGTTATGGCAGCTCTAGCAGACTAATACAGTATCTGATAAATTCTGTCTGAATGTTAAAGTGGGTTACCAGACATTCAATTTTAAACATTCTTTTCTGGATTTTATTTCATTTTGGAAACAGGATAGTATCCAGGAGTGCTAAGTTCAACTTTTATAATAGAATAGTAAGAATTATAAAAATTTAAAACACTTTAAAAACTCTTAAATGTTAAAGCATGCACCTATATGGAGAAAAATCAGAACACTAGCTGTCAGAGGGAAGAAGGAAGAAGGATGGGACAGGGACTCACTGGGAAGGGTCATGAAAAACTCTCAGACAGTCTGGCCAAGATGGAGGTGTAGGTAGATACACTTTGCTTCCTCACATAACTAAGAGGATAACTACCAATTCAAAAACAAAAAACCACCAGAACTGCCAGAAAATTAAACTGTGTGGAAGTCCAACTACCAAGGAGTTAAAGAAACCTTCATCCAGACCAGTAGGAGGGTGAAGAAGGGCAGCCAGACACAGCAAGACGGGGGCTGGCAGAGCGCAGCAGGTGAGGAGGCAGCTGGCAGACCGGGTGGTCCCACATTCATGTGTGGATAAGCTGGGCAGAACAACTGAAGAGCGAGACAAACTGTGCAACCCAGGGTTACAGTGAGGGCAAAATAAAGGCTCAAAACCTCTGGCTGTAGAAATCTGTGGGGGTTGTGGCAGCAGGAGAAACTCCCAGCCTCACAGGACAGTCCACTGGAGAGGCCCACGGTTTCCTAGAACGTATACAAGCCCACCCATCCAGGAATCAACTCCTGAAAGGGCACAATCCACTTAAGGGAAGTGAGGGAAGTGACAGAAAGTGGGGTGAGAGCCGAGCAAGCAGCATTGTTCCTTCTCTGACCCCTCCCCCACACACGGGGCAACAATGCAGCCAAGTGGGTGCCCTGCCCTGGCAAATATCTAAGGTTCTACTGTTTACAATGTAATAGGTGCATGGAGACAAACAAATATGGCCCAAAGGAAAGAAGAGATCAAAACTCCAGGAAAAAAACTAAGCGATGAAGAGATAGCCAACCTATCAGATGCAGAGTTCAAAACACTGGCAATAAGGATGTTCACAGAAATGGTTGAGTATGGTCACAAGATAAAGGAAGAAGTGAAGGCTATGCAAAGTAGAATAAAGAAAAATATACAGGAAACCAACAGTGAAGGGAAGGAAACTGGGACTCAAATCAATGATTTGGAACAAAAGAAGAAATAAACATCCACCCAGAACAGAATAAAGAAACAGGAATTCAAAAAAAATGGGGAGAGGCTGAGGAACCTCTGGGACAACTTTAAACCTTCCAACATCTGAATCATAGGGGTGTCAGAAGAAGAAGAGTAAGAAATTAAAAACCTATTTGAACAAATAATGAAGGAAAACTTCCCCAGTCTGGCAAAGGAACTAGACATGCGAGTCCAGGAAACTCAGAGAGTCCCCAAGAAGTTGAATATAAGAAGAAACACACCAAGGTACATCATAATTAAGTTACCTGAGATTAAAGTTAAGGGGAGAATCTTAAAAGCTGCAAGAGAAAAAGAGACAATTACCTACAAAGGAGTTCCCATAAGACTACCAGCTGATTTCTCAAAAGAAACCTTGCAGGCAAAAAGGGGCTGGCAAGAAGAATTCAAAATCGTGAAAGGCAACGACCTAGATCTGAGATTACTCTATGCAGCAAAGCTATCATTTAGAATGGAAGAGCAGACAAAGTGCTTCTCAGATAAGGTCAAGTTAAAGGAGTTCATCATCACCAAGATCATCATAACATTTCATATGAAATGTTAAAGGGATTTACCTAAGAAAGAAGATCAAAAACTATGAACAGTAAAATGACAATAATCTCACAACTATCAACAACTAAACCTAAAAAAACAAAAACAAAAACTAAGCAAACTAGAACAGGAACAGAATCACAGAAGTGGAGATCACATGGAGGGTTATCAGTGGGGTGGGGGAGGGGGATAATGGGGGGAAAAGATACATGGAATAAGAAACATAATTAGTAGGCATAAAATAGACAGGGGGAGGTTTAGAATAGTATAGGAAATGGAGAAACCAAAGAGCTTCTATGTACAACCCATGGACTTGAACTAACAGGGAGGGATGGGGGAGGGAGGGGGGTGCAGGGTGGAAAGAGATAAAGGGGAGAAAAAGATGAGACAAGTATAATAACATAATCAATAAAATATACTTAAAAGCAGAAACTTTCAAAGATAATGGTATTATTCTCTATGTCGATGGAGGCATGTAAATGTCAAAACTCATTTAACCGTACATTTAAGATTTGTATATTTAATGCAAATTTTACAGAAAGTATACAAATATTGAACTCTACTTAATGATATGCATTGTGAAAGACCTGTTTAGAGGTGAAGTAATGGATGTTTGCAACTTAGCTTGACGTATATCAAAAAAATAAACAGGTGGATTGATGGATAGAGACCGTTATGTGATAGAGTAAATTTAGCAAATTACTGAACATGGAATTTAGACGGTAGGTATATGGATGTTCATTGTATAATTCTTTCAACTTTCCTGTAGTAGCTGGATATTTTCATAATAAAATTCTGAAAAGATACACATAATCTTTATAATAAAAAAATACGTGACTCCTTGTTTCTCTACCACAGAATTCAGTGCTGTGCTTTTCACTTTTAAGGTACTTACACGAAAAATGCAATGGTTTCATAGCTTTAAAAAATTCAGTTTGCTTAATAATTTGTAACTGTGTCAGTTAACCATGCTTTACAATTTTACAAAATTCATCTAAACCTAAAGGCTATAATTTTACAATTTTACAGCACCTTCACTTATGTTCTTGTGTGCCTCTGAGGCAGTAGGGGCAAATGTTATTCTCATTTACAATGAGGTTAAATGATGTGCCAAGGCGAGCTCTGGAAAACCAGATCTTCCGACTTTTAACCCAGAATATTCTCCATTAGAAACCACGCATTTGTAAAAGTCTTAGAGAAAGTATCTAAAAACTTCCCTCAGCTTTCACTAATGAGACTTATTTTATGATCTTTTTACTTATATATCTGTGTGAACAGAATGCTTCTGCAAGACAGTTTAGCTTTTGCCCCACTTGTAACTTCTTATCTGATCTTCCAAAAGAAAAATCAATGTTCTTTAAGCACTCTTCGATGTTTTAACAGCAAAAAGGGATTCTGAAATTTGGTTTTAAAAGATTCAGATAACTATAGAGAAGGAAGCAGTTATAAATGTTACTGAACATAACCTTGTTTTACAGATTCAAAAATTAATTCGAGAGGGGTTAAGTGATCAGCTCAAGGCTCCAAAGTTGTTAATGGCAGAAGCAGTATTAGACCCAGGACTTCTAACTCGCTAACTAGGGGTCTTTCCCAAAAACCCTAGAACTATCATTGCAAACTTATCTGAGTGTATTAACTCAGTTTAAATTATAGTACAAATGTGACAAGACCAAAGCCACAAAAAGGCTGGTAAACCTCAAATAGTCCACATACGTTAGAATTCAACAGCCTTTTATTTATTTATTTTTTAAATTTTTACAAGTGTTTCCATTTATTGGGCACATGGATCACATCTGAAGCCAGCTGCTAGTCTGAGAAGCAGCTGAAGAGGGTGCAATGACCCCACATAAAAAAAGACACCACTTTAGTTTTTTGGCCAAATGACATTTGTCAAAGAAATCTGTCTGTTGAGGTTATCTTCAAGAATACCACTCCCTACAAAATGGCTCAAAGCACAAAGCTTACTACAGATAGATCAATGACATGTTAAATGACTTCTCAACATCTTTAGTTAAAAATACATTTGTACGGTCATGATACTTTAAAAGTCAACTATTTACCTAGACAGCAGCACATCTGTGGCTACTCTGACACAGGTAATTTTCATTGCAACTTGGTCAAAATCCAAACCCCTGTTCTTTAAAACATGAGTTAATATTTAACCCCAGACCTCTGGCGTTTGAATATATAAGAGATATAGCCTTTTTCTTAAATGTTACATTTTCTTTAACGCTTAGGAAGGCAGCAGCACCAGGGCAGACACTAGAATTAATCGCCCCTTAAAGAACCCAAACGTTCTGCTCCATCAAAATAGTAAAACTTGTACCAAGTTGTTTCGTTTTATCAAGTAAATGAGTTCTCCTTTACTTTTTTTTTTTAACCTCCTACAAATCCTCAGCTTTAAATACTATAGGAACAGGTATCGGGGGATGGCTAAAAGATTGTCACAATCCCTACCCACGGCGGCTTGACCACCGCGCAACCACCTTGAGTTTTCGCGCGGTTACTCAAGGCCTGAGCGGCGCAGGGAGAACTATAACCCCCAAGGAGCAGCCTGGCTCCCTAAGGCCAATCCCGCGCCCCCCATGACCTCCAATGGCTCCAAAAAGGAGCCCAGAATTGCCCGCTTCTTCCACAACTGGCCCACACTCCCTCCTAGGCCAGAGGAGGGAAAAGGGTCCAGGGACAAAAGAAAGGACACGCCTGCCACTGGGAAAAACCGCATCACCTGGAACTCGGCGAACTCCTCACAATTCACACCGCCACTGGGCGCCGCCATATTGGACAAACGCGAGGCCCCCTCCGCGAGCCAATCACTGCGCAGCAAAGGTGTCCGCGGCGCCGCCTGACAAAATATTTCTAGGGAGAGCACGAGAAAGCTGAGTCCTAGGCCCGTTTTTTCCACTGGTCTTCATTCACTTCGGAACCTGGAACTCTGCTGTTCTTTCCACACCTATTCCTTTAACGTATCCTCCTGGAACTGACCCATGTGTATGGATCGAAGACTGTCAGGACTTTTGAAGGGATCGTTTTACCCTAATCCCATTTCTTCCCTGGGAGAAGAAAAGGGAAACAATTCCCTGGTCGCACTAACGAGCTCCTTCGAGTAGAAGTGGTTTTTCGTAACCTTCTCACTCCATTATCTCCTCTCAAAGCTGAGGGGCCTTCGTCAAGAACTGGGAACCACTAAGAAATACCAAGAAGACATTACTGGCGGTGTGGGTGCATAAGGGCTGAAAAGGTGTTATGTGTGTAAATAAAGTTTAGTTTTATAAAAATAGGTAAACTTAATAGGAAATATATATGCTAATTTCTCAGACTGAGAAAGCCAACAAGGTGGGCCCCAGCTACGTGTTTTTGATAAAAACATACACTGTATATTCATCGAAAATACTAAAATACCGGTTAACCTAGGCAGTATGATTTCGGGCGTCTACAGCTGCCAAAAGTTACACAACACAATAAGCAATAACCATACTATTTTTCTTCTATTTTAAACGAGTACTTTCTTAGACACAAAGAATAATACGAAAAGCAAAAGCTCATTACGTCCGTACTCTACAAGAGCAGTTTAAGGACGCGTGCGTCAACTGGTGCCCTCTAGACGCCCTGGCCCCACATTCTCCACGTCAGGCACGTCCCGAGCACCACACTGGTACATCCCGCAAGCCCCGCCCGTACTTCCCAGTAACACAGGAACGATCCGCTCGCTCCGCCACCAAGTCCCACACGCCCCACCCACCATCTCCGCCTCTGTCTTTCCCTTTGCGGCAGCGAACTTGGTGACATTGAGTCCTCCCGCGCCTCCGCCTCCCCTGAGGTGTTGCGCGAGTTGGCGGAGTAGGAGGCCATGGGGAGCCTCCGCGGCCTGCGCCTGGCGGCAGGTGAGACGCGGGACTGGCTGAGGGAGGGCGGGAAGACACCTTAGCCACTGGGTTTGGAGGAATCCTGCAACCTCCCCAGGCCTGGTAGTGGCTTGGTGCCTCACGCACTGCTCTTTAGTTGCTTGGAATCCTTCCCTCATGGTAGTAATAATGGGAGAGAGAAAGGGCTGAACGAGCAACTGCTGAGCAGACAGTGGGGACTTGTCCCGAGTGACCCTCGCACCTGGCTCTCTGCATCCACACAGCTCCCACCAACTTTATGAGCGCTTGTTCCCCGATACCTTTGCCTCCCCTCCCGTCGCCCGCCTCCTAGGAGGAGCTCAGCTCTTAATGCACCTGCCAGCCGTAGATCTCCCTCATTGCTTGATTCACTCAGTTTTCCGCCCTAATCTCCTCCCGTCCCCCCGCCCCCGTTGTTACTTCTACGTGAGTCTTGAGTCGAACCCCGCCCCCCATCTCGAGTTTATTCCTGCTGTCAGAGAAAACCCGTAGTCAGGTGTTTTCCTACCTGTTTAGTGTCAGATTAGACTAGGGATTTAAGGTCTCACTATTGTTTTCTTAAAATGGGGGATTTCTTTTCAACAGTTCTGCGATTAAGTGCTTTGAATTTCTTCAAGTGTTATCGTAAATGCGGGATCTGCAGTTTGTTTTCTTAATGGATGTCTGTATAATGGGTGTTTGGAGTCAGAGCTTAATTTGCATTTTTGGGGAACCAGCAGAGGTTTAGTTTACTAGGGGCTAAAGAATCAGCATTTGCCTCTTGTCTGTTTTCCTAGGCGCCAGGGCAAACCACTCTTGCACACCTTTATGTTTTGATGAGACGCAACGATTGTTCTTTTATTCCTTGGTACCAAATTACTAAAAAGATGTTTAATTCCTATTTTAAAAGAAGAATCGCCCCAAACTTGGCTATGGAAGTAATATAAATGTACATTGTAAATGAAGTGATGTTAAAAAAAGTTATCCTTTCCACACATAATTTATTTTGTGTTTCAATGGAGAATGAACTGGAAAACATGTCTCAAACTAGAGAATATTATTTACTTCCATTACAACAAATACCACCCCCACTAAAAGAGATTGATTTCATTGATTTGTTCTGTTTGTTGAACTAATTTGCCTAAAATCTTTTGTATACAGTAGTTCCCCCTTATCCGTGGTTTTGCTTTCCACCTTTTCAATTACCCATGGCCAGTCACGGTCTGAAAATATTAAATGGAAAATTACAGAAATAAAGAATTTATAAATTTGAAGTTGGGGGCCATTCTGAATAGTGCGATGAAATCTTGCTCCTTCCTGCTCCATCTCACCCCTAGGCAGGAGCCATCCTGTGTCCAGCGTTTTCTCTCTGCATACACTGCCAGCTTGTTAGTCACTTAATAGCTGTCTTTGTTGTTGGTTGACTGTTGTGATATCGCAGTGCTTATGTTCAAGTAACTCCTATTTTACTTAAAAATGGCCCCAAGGCACAAGAGTAGTGATGTTGGCAGTGCCGATATGCCAATGAGAAGCTGTAAAGTGTTCATACCTATTTAAAAACATAGTGTATGTAGGGGATCGATACTTTGCATTGTTTGAGGCATCGACTGGGGGTCTTGGAATGTTTACCACATAGAAAAGGGGGCACTAACTCTACACCCTTTTAACTGTTATAAACCTTTGCAGCATGGTAAGTGAAAGAATCATTGCTCTGTAAAAAAGCTAAAATAGACTTGTGTGAAAGGGACTTTGACTACACAGGAGCTAAGACCAATGTTTGTAAGCAGTTCACCTTCTTGCCTTGAGAATGTATTTATGGATTATAAAGATTCCAAAACCTTGCACCAGACTTTTGATGTTTAAGAAGTTCAATATTGGGCACTCAATCAAAACAAAATTCCTTAAGCAATTTAAGAACAGTTTTACTCTAGATAGAGCTACTGAAGATGTTACATGCGCAACTCTTTCCAAATATTCTTCTCCTAATGTGTTTGATGTTTTGTGAACAAGTCCAAATAATTTGCTCACCCACCTTTGCCCATTTTATAGCTAAATATATTTATACGCATTATTTTACTTGACTGATTTCTCATAGTAGCCTTCTTAGGTAAGTCTTAGTATCCCCTCTTCATTTTACAAGTGAAGAAACATAGGTCAGAGGGTTAAATGACTTGTCCAAAATCACTTCACAAAGTTAGAGCCAGGAGATGAGCCTGCCCTCTAATTATGGAACTTGTGCTCTTTGCCTTGTTCAAGCTGTCTATTCACAGTAAGTGTGTGTATGTATTTGTCATGGCTCATTGGGTCTCTGATATGAAATGAGAGTCAGGAAATGCAGATTTACTTATGAACGGGAGGCACAGATTCATACACAATTGGATTTTCAAGTTAGAGGACAGATGTAACAAGCAGCCTTAACCAAATAATGCAGAATCTGTCCTTTCCACAGATTCAGTCAACCATGGATCAAAAATGCTTAAAAAAACAACAACAAAAAACAACTATCATGGTTGCATCTCAACTGAACTTGTACACTTTTTTCTTGTCATTATTTCCTAAACAATACAGCTTAATAGCTATTTACAAAGCATTTACATTGTATTAGGTATTGTAAGTACTCTAGAGGCCATTTAAAGCATTTGGGAAGATAGGCATAGATTATATGCAAATACTATGCTATTTTATATGAGACTTGAGCATCCTTGGGTTTTTGTTATCTGAGGGGGTCCTGGAACCAGTGCCCCTCAGATACCAAGGGGCCACTGTAGATCTCACCGATCCAGAATATTAACTGGAATAAGATACTCTAAGTGAGTAACCTTTCAGATAGCCAAAACTTAATCGTTCAAATGATTGCCCTTTATTTTTAATTGTTTCTGTTGGAAATCTTTGCTATACTCCCTTAGCAAACAGAATTTGGGCTTTTATGAGCTTGAGTTTGTTTATTGTTTTGTAGATACAGGTCAAGGTTACCAGTAACTTGCAATTCTTGGACCACTTCACAGATGAGAGGTCCTGTGAACCTCTGAAATTATAATACATATAATATAGAATTATATTTCTTGATATTAATATACCTGTTTACAGAGAGTGGGTCCATAGTTTGCATCCATTACTGAGATCAGTTCATACACTTTAAGTTAAAAAGCATTGCTACAGATGATTTGGAACTAAATAGGTACTGATCCACACTAGTGTGGGTTTCATGAGGATAAAGACTGGATCTATTTTGTATTTACTAAATCCTCAGCACTAACTACTGTCCTGCTCATAGTAGACAGGCAATAGATTTTTTTTTTCTTTTCTGGAGGAGAGGCACTAGGAAGTATCTTGGAACCTGCTGCGGGTAAAAGGTGAATTATCTCAAAGTAGAATAAAATAGATAGAAATTTCAGGTCATTGTTATCTTCCTACAGAATAATTATTAGATCAAAGGAATGGAAGGGCCTTATAAAAATGTTTCTTCACACCTTGAGAGAAGTTTTACTGCCCTAAAGTCTTTTGACTTATCAGTGGATTTTAAAATGAATTTATTATCACTTTTATACCAATGCAGTGGACCATGGGCAGCCTACTTGTCAGTTTAACCCTCATCACAGAGCATTAGAATCGAGGTACGTTAGAAGTCCTGTAGTCCAGTCCCTTAATTTTAAAGATGAAGGAACTTAAGACTCAAGAAGAAAATTAACTTGCCAGGGGACACATGAGTATAAAGGTGGGCCATAACCAATATCTCCTGGCTCCTAGGTGGATTTTATTTCCACTACATTCATTGTTCTTTTTGGTTGTCCTTGCTAACCAACCCTAAATTAATACCTGCCCATTTCTCCTGCTCCAATCTTTAGCTTTGCATATCTCTCCCTCCAGGTTTTGCCAACAGGCTTTTATTAAGCACACACTTTGTGTCCTATACACTATGAAAGCTCTAAAATGAGTAGACTGCCACTCCTAGGCCTGGAGTTTACTGTAATGAACAAACATAGCTATATAGTACACCTGGAGAGCTTATATACAACAATATATGTTAAGTTCTGGATTACAGAACAGGTTTTCAGTTCTCTGATGTCCTGGAGCTGGTTCTAGTGGCTTTGTGCACATTTCTTCCCAATCACACAATCTGCGATGTTATATTGGTAGCTTGAAGTCTGCCACGGTGTGGGTTGTTGACAAACACTGCATATCAGAGTTTTTCCCTGCCAGCCCCTGCCCAAGAGCCAGCATACCACTGGTTTTAAAAATTCAGAGGAAGGAAAAGTTGTGTAGGTTATGATTATCTACTGAAGGCTCCTTTGAAACAGAAGGGATGGGAGGGTTACGTGAACAAAGGTAGGGGTAGTAATGAGTCTGGAGTGGGTTTGGGGAGGGTGGGGGAGCGAAAGGGCAGTAAGGAGAAAGGATTACACTGGATTTTGGTCAGGAGGTAATAGGAGATAAAGTGTGGCCTTGTAAACATTTTGAATCAGTTGAATTTGTAGAAAAAAGCCTTTGAGCAGAAGTCACTAAAGAAAAATGTTTCAAAAATTAACATGACTGCTTACATAAAATATGAATAGTTGCTACCTATGAAGATAGTTCAGTAACTAACCGATGTGTGAGGTGGTGATGGAAGTGACACAAGAGGTATATATCTGGGAAGTGTTTTGAAGAAATTAGTATGACTGAGACATAGAGTAATTTAAGGAAATACTAAAGACTTGATGTCTGTGAGCATGGAGGGCTGAAGGAGTGTTGCCCCCTTGTCAGAAATAAAGTTGGGAAGGGTTTGGCAGAGGGGATGGTGCATTATCAAGTAGGAGGTGACAGTGAGGTATAGATGACGATGGGACTCTCAGTTGAAGAAGACCTGAGGACAAAGGAAGGATCAGTGTGGAGCTGATTACTAAAACAGAATCGAGGAGTCCTCCCTGAGAGGAGAGCGGAATAGAGGCAAAGACTGACCCTTAAAGGCCTGATGTTGTGTAAATAATAGGAGGTGGCAAAGAGGACATTAAAGAAGTTAGATCATGGTCAGGGTTGAAGAG